AGTAGGAATATAGCAGATGAATAGTTATATAGTTATATAGCAGATGAGTAGGAATATAGCAGATGAATAGTTATATAGTTATATAGCAGATGAGTAGTTATATAGCAGATGAATAGGAATATTGCCGGGTTGTAACACTGTTGGTGTGATTTCTGTGTGATTGTCGGTGGTCCTCCCTGCAGAGGGGGGTGAGGTCTGAGTCGCTCCTCGGTGGCCTCAGTACCACTGAAGGTTTGATGGTGTGACACCACGCATGGGACTGAGAGGAGGCCATGGTACTAAGCAGGACAGGATCACACAACATCACCTTTAACCAACAATAAGTCACACAGTGAGGACGCAGCCTGCTGCTGTTGTTGCTGAACATTAACACACACCTCACCTGGGAAGCCGCTGTGCGCTAGTTAGCCTGTGTACACGCGCCCAGCTGTCACGCGGATGTCTCCATCGCAGCGAGAAGCAAAGTGTCACGACGGAAAGTGTGTGTGAGCTGGTTAAACTTCAATCTAGCCTCACGTGCACGCAGCTCAGTGCATCAACACGGACCATGTCAAAATTCATCCATGTTAGTCCTGCACCGTCCTGCTAACACCCACTTCCTGCTCCGCCTCAAGGACCGGACCACTGTGACGCCCGGGCAGGGGTGTCCTGCTACTGTTCTGGCAAATAAATTGGGTAATGCCACTGAAAACACTTAGCTGTAAAATAATCTCAAAGAAAAGCTTTAATACGCGAATTCACACTTAAAAAATGGAATTGTTGTTATATTAAATTAAATTAAGAGTGCGGACACATTGTCCTCAGCTGTATTCCCCTGAAAACAATGGTCTGATCCTGGTGTTTCAAACAAGTGTCAGCAGTGTCAACAACAGTGTCTTCTAACTTTCTCTGCAGGAGGTAAGTGTCACTGCAAACATTAAAACTACTTTAAAGGTCCAGCCTGTGAGATGTATGTGAGATTTATACAAACTGAGCTTTAAAACCTGTCACAGCTCAGACTCAGAGTTCTGCACTGGGACCCAGAGGAACAGTTGTTGGCCCCAGTTCTCTGAGAGGGTTTTATTAGCTGTTCTGTGACTTTCACTTCACTGTGCTGACTTGATATTATCATGCAACAGTGTAATAACTGAGAAAAACATACAACATGTCTGATCTCATTGTCCACACAGGTGAGGCCTTTTGTCTCAGTGGAGTTACTATTGTTGTGCAGGAATCAAGGTTATTATAGTTTTGAAATTTTCATTAGTTTTTATTTTTATTTCGTTTTTCAGTTTGCTTTTTTTAAATTTCAGTTTAGTTTTAGTGAACAAGTTCAACAAGTGATTTTGTAGTTTTAGTTTAGTTTTTATTTTGAGGAATCGACTATTTTCAGTTTAGTTTTTATTTAGTTTTAGTTTTCCCATGTATTAAGAGAAAGCCTTGACTTGTAGAAGCTGAAAAAGGATGAAACAATGTGTGACACCAAATATGGTTTATCAAGTCCTTTAATTTCATTCTTTGACCATCCCCTGCAGGACAGGCAGTAATCCAGGGAGAAAACGAAAACGAAGCTGAATTTATCTGCAATTCAGTTTAGTTTTAGTTAGTTTTGCATTGTTCATTGTAGTTTTTATTTTGTTTTTTGTTTTTTTGTAATTGTTGTTTTTATTTTTATTTAAGTTAACTAAATTATTTTTTCATTGCTAGTTTTAGTTTTAGTTTTTGTTAACTATAATAACCCTGGTAGGAATGAGGAGGAGGAGGAGGAGGAGAAGATAAGAGGGGAAGAATAAGGAAGAAAAGAAGAATTGGGAGAAAGAGAGGGTTAAGGAGTAGCGAGAGGAGGAGAATTAGGAAGATGTGAAAAATTGGGAGAAAAATGAGGAAAAGAAGAAGAAGGAGGTAGAAAGAAGGAAGAGGAGAAGGCCAACATGGAGGAGGAGGCGGGGGAAGGAGAGTGAGAAGGAGACGGAGGTAGAAAGACGAGGAGACGAAGAAGGAAGAGGACTATAAGAAGGAGAAGATAGGGGAACCATGTGACCGCTCGATGCTCTGAGAGTGATACTTTTTTCAGGAGAAAATTTAAAAATGAAGAAGGAATAATTCATTTTCATCTATGCATGGTTTCGACAGTGATTTCTGAAATGTGAATCTTACAGATGACCATGGCGAAGAAACTGGTGATCATCGACACAGACTGCGGCATAGACGACGCTCAGGCCATCATTTTGGCCTTGGCAGCACCAAACATCCAGATCCTGGGCGTCACCTGCGTGTTTGGAAACACTGCGGTCGACAATGTGTGTCAGAATGTTTTGAAAGTGCTCTCGGTCTGTGAGCGTGAGGAGGTACATTTACTCAAGATACATTACATTCAGACCGCCAGATCAATATTATATACCTGAACGGGAGGGATAGGGAGAATGTAAACAATTTTTAGCATTTTATCAAAAAGCTCATCTTATTCCAGGAACAAACGTGTGACAAACTTATTATTAATGCAACATAGCTCACAGTATGTATTGTATTGATATAAGTCAAACATATTATATTGATATAATACATCTATACCAATACAAGACACACTAAAGAATATCCAAATACTCACATATGATTTGTATAATACCAAAAATGATTTGTTATATTCAACCACAGACCGACAGATTTATCGATAATATCAGTCGAACTGAGCCCTTCACGGTCACATCAGTATCAGAATAGGAAATCAATTTGGAGAGCATTGACCACTGTCATGGACTAACTGTCTCATTTTTAAATTGAAACCCTTATTTTGTAAATTACAGCACACTTAAAGAACAGTCTATAATACTTTTTAAATAAAAAGGGGGTTCATATTTGACTGATTTTATTAACTAATATTAACTGATGAAAAAGCAGCTGTATGCAGTGATAGAAGAAATTGCAGGATGTGATACATTGCATCCAGATGCATCGTTGTGCAGTTGGATCATTGACTGCTGAACGGTAATGGAATCGTTAGGTGAGTGAAGACTAACAGACAGGCAGCCCTCCCACCTCCTGTCCCTGTTGTACTGGTTTTTCTTTGCTTGTGTGGAACTGAGTAGTGATAATCAAAAGACAAAGCTACCAGTTCCCACAGTTTACAACTTAAGCCCAAAGACTAAAACAAGTGGTTAACTTGTGTCTTGTTACGTACAGACACAGGGTAAAACCAACACCAAACAAACAAAACAATCACCTCACTGTGTATTTTTGGAAGTTTTCTTTCCATTAGGGTGAAGCAAAATAGACCAGAATCTCAAAATTGACCAGTATACCAAAAAAACTACTGTATGTTTTTGCCTGTAGTGTCCTGCTCTAAACTGCATAACTTTGATCGTAGGCTCCTCATCTAATACCTATTCATTCTACTGCTGTTAAGTAGTGAGGTCACTAAATAAATTGTTATTCAGAAGTGTGATACTATATTTAACTTTTGGTTTTAGATCTTTTTAAAAAAATATATAAATAATTATGAGAAGTGCCTTTGTTCTCACTTGAACCCTTGCCATCTAAAATGTCTGTGCACGCCCCTGTTGTCTGCATCCTGCAGATTCCAGTGTTTCGAGGCTCTGGTAGTGCCCTGGTCGGAGACGTTGCCCTATGTTCGGACCACTTTGGCAGTGATGGACTTGGAGACGTGATTGAAGACAGAGATCCACGGTGGGAGGAGAAAATCCAGACAGAGCCTGCAGTCAATGCAATGATGAGACTGGTGTCTGAAAACCAGAACCAGGTGAGAGGCCCCACTGTGTTCTGCCTGTAATCTGCAGCTGCCCTCTGGTGGTGGTGTACGACTAAAACATGCCTTCCTCAGGTCTCCTTGATCGCCCTCGGCCCGCTCACTAATCTGGCACTGGCTGTCAAACTGGATCCATGCTTTCCCCAAAAGCTCAAAGATCTGTACATTATGGGTGGTAATATGGAAGGTAAGGCCACAACATGATCACAGTGTTTTTATTGTAGACATGCAGGCATAAGTATAAGTTGCTTTTGTCTTTGTAGGAAAAGGAAATGTGACAGTGTGTGCAGAGTTCAACTTTGTAATGGACCCAGAGTCTGCCTATATTGTTCTGGAAGAGTTTCTCTGCGCTACGTACATCGCAACATGGGAATATACGTGCAGAAACGGACTGACATGGGTAAGATGTGTAGAATTGGGGGGGCTGCTTTGCCTTCCCTATTCCAACGCCCCTGCTTGCTTTAATCTGATTTTACTTGTGCAGGAGTTCTTTGAGGAGATGATCAACCAGGATGCACCGGCCGCACGCTTCATGAAGATGATAACATCCAAGTGCTGGGCCTACTCCAGAGAAACTTTGAAGAACACGAGAGACGTGTACTTTGGACCGTGCTTTGTCTCGTATGATTCCTACGCGGTGGCCGCCTGCATTGACGGCAGCGTGGTGACGGAGAGCATCCAGTGTCCCGTTCGCGTGGAGCTGCAGGGTACCATGACTCGCGGCATGATGGCACTAGATCGCACAAACAAGCTGAAGAAGAGTCACAGTGTGTTTGTTATGACTAAGTGTGATGAGGCCAAGTTAGGTCAGCTACTAATGGGGTCTCTTAGACAACCATGTAAGAAGTAATCTTGGGTGCTCTGATGGGAAGTGGTTATGATACATATGATACAATCAAATATTCATGGATCAGTTTTTTCATCAGTTAAATACAGGCTGGCAGCACCCACCACATTAAAAGAAATACATATGACTGTATTTTCTGCATGTGCCAATAAAAAAATGAATCAGTCCACTTATCCTGCGTCAAATGTAATTTTTGGTGGGTTGACGAGACTGTGACCAGCACTGGGGGATAAAGATTGAACTTTTATACTCATGGACCATCTCCATCGAACACATTCCCATAATGCCCTGATACACTTGTGAAGGGCCTAGTGGCAGTTGAACCTATGACAAACCAGAACATACACGATGTGGAGAAAAAGATAGTTGCTGCATCAAAGACTTTGAAGGAGCAGGAATTGAGAGTGGCCAGTGTTTCTTACAGGTTCATTTGAGGATTGTTTACGTCTGCTTGACCTCTGACGGAGACAGTTGTGCTTCTGAGCGGTAACTTTCACATTTAAATATGCAGAATGGCCAACACCTCTTATTTCACAGGATTTCCATATGAACGTAAATAATATAACAAGACTCTACAGCTTATAGACACAAAAAAGGGATGAAACTCAAAATTTACAGTGAAAATTTCAATGAACAATAAGAGACTGCCCTCTTTGTGCTATATATCCTTTTTTTGTAAGAATATGTATTGTTTTATTTTTCCTGATATATATTTAACTGTACTTTCACCATATTTTCTGTGTTGAGCACATATCTGTAATGTTTATTTAGTTATTTAAAAAAGGAACTTGTGTTTTATATACATATTTGTAAATAAATACATTTTGACTCATTCACTTGATCATCGCCTTCATATCAGCACCTCATTAAATCAAGTGAATGACCACTTAAGATCGGACTGAAAACTTGTTTCTGCCCTCTAGTGTTGAGATGCACTTACCACACCAGCCATAGTGTTTTTATCATGAACAAATATGATTTTGATAAGTTCAGTGTGTGACTCAGGGCTTCTTTTAGAGAACTGAGTATTAAGC